TAATAGCATACAACAAATCCTGGAGGGCCGGTGTGACTCCTGGACCACTGTCATTCACATCAGTGAACCCCTTCCTCTTTCATTCCAGGTTCCAGGGGACTCAGGGTGGCGGCTGATGACTGCAGGTAGGAGGGGACAGTTGGAGGCAGGCGGCACTGGAGACTGGCACCCCAGGACCGTTGCCAGAGCAGTGTGGCGCCGAGCTGGACTGCAAGGCTGACTCACAGTGGGCCTGGGGCCAGCGTCATGAAGAGTTGATCCAAATATTTGTGCAAAGAGCTTCCCTGAAGTGCGATAAAGGGCCCCATAACTGTGACACATTCCCTGTTTTCTAGGAGAGGCAGTGTTGGACGTGGCTGGCAGGTGCAGTGGCCTGGAACTTCCTGCCAGAAGTACAAGTTCTTCACGCCGCTGGCACCATGAGACCCTGGGTGGCTTCCGCCCCATCTGAAGATGGGGCCAGGTGGTTGTGGGCTGAATTCACAGCACATGAGCTAAGGGCCTGTTCTTACTTTTGTCTTAATAATCATACCAGTTACAGTTACGGAGTCCATGCTGGGGACAGGGCACTGGGCTATGTGCTCAGCATGCCCGGTCACCTTTAAGCCTCTCGAGAACTCAAAAGGGTCAATACCGTTATTGTACCCATGCTACAGAGGAGAAAACTGAGCCTTGGAGCAGTGAGGTAACTAGGAAGTGGCGACATCAGGATTTAAAGCTACGCCCTTCAAAAAGAAGAGATCACTGGACAGATCCTACAGAGCTCACAACACGGAAGGGAGAAGAACCTCGGCCAGGACGGGAACCAGAGCAGATCTGACCCTGTCTCTTTAGGCCACTGCCACTGAGTGGCTCTGCTCTAACCAGTCTTGCCAGTGGGTGATATGTCAGCAGCTGCTTTTCTGCTCTGTGGTTTGGAGGGACCAACTGTTCACAGGATGTATTATTTTATTATTCTCTGCTCTGGACTCAGCTCTGGAGTTGGAGGTATAAAGACTCTGTGCTGTGTGTACTTGGGCAAGAAATTTAACCTCTCTAGGCCTTAGTTTCCTTATCTGTAAAATAGGGGCAAAATTGGGATGTTATGGGGATTAAATGAATACATTTTTGCCAGGCATTTAGGATAGAGCTGGACACTGAACAAACACCACAGAGTGACTGTCACTAAAGGTTGAACCCTGGCGGCAACAGATCGGGAACATCTTCACAGGGCCCTCTCTTCCCTTAGGCTATGTTGTTAGCTCAGCCTGAGGCATGTGGCCACTGTGCGGTCCCCTAGTGAACCTGCTGCTCCAAGCATGGTCCTTGGGCCAGCAGCACTATCAGCCATGGGCTTGCTAGAACTGCAGACTCTTAGGCCCCACCCTAGACCCACTGGATCCAACGACACTTACTGAGATTCCCAGGGGATTTGCAGAGATAGTCACGTTTGGAAAGCACAGCTTTACAGCCATTAAAGGCAAATAAAAAGCAAGGAAAAAGAAATCTAGAATCTCCCTTGTTGGATACAATCTAAAACATGAACTTTTAGGTTCTCAAGCCAGAACCTTCAGGATAATGGTAATTCACAGGTTGGTGGCGGTTCACAATTTGACCAAAGGGCCTACACACCCCCCTTTTGCTTGCTCTTTAGCACCACCTCGTAAGGTGCACAGGCCTTCTGACACCCTAATTCAAAGCTCAGAGCAGTTTCCACACTGTTCATCAACAATGAGTGAGTCATTACCAGTTCTTTCTCTTCCTTGATACCTAGACACAGCCTGTCACTAAGTCCCATGACTGTGTTCCATCAGGATGGTCTGGACTCGGCCTATTGTTATAATCTCCCTGGCTCCAGCCTCAGCCAAGCTCTTACGATAACAATAACGTTAACTACTGAACAAGGAGACCTGTTCTGCTGAGATCTTTCCTTGTGTCACTTACCTCATCGATCCCTCCTAGCCATCCTGAGATAAATACCATTATTACCACCATCTAATCACAGACGATGATGCCGAGGCTCCACGTGAGAGAGTTGCCCCAGGTGCAGTCAGGGTAAGTAGTAGAGGTGGGGTTTGAATATGACATGTTGGTCACGTCTCAATTTCTGCACTAGCTTCCGAGCTGGCCTGTGCACCATGGCCTGCTCTCCAAGTTTTGGTAGCACAGCCCGCCTTCTCTCCTGTCCCCGGCCTTCTCCAGGAAGCCTCTTCCTGAACAGTGCCTTCGAGTGAAGTTCTCTTCACTTTGCATTTCACAGCACTCAGAAGTATCCACTGGACTTTACTGTGAATTACTCATTTAATTATTTGTCCTACTCATGAGAGTGAGGTTCTTGAGTGTACCCCTCATTGGTGACAGACATTGTCCCAGCACAGTGACGAGCACAGGGTGGGTGCTCAGTGAATGTTTATCAGATGAACATCACTCATTGGTGTCTTCACTTGGGCTGTAATCCTTTAAGAAGATTACCCCAAACACCTTCATATCCTCCATAGCATATAAAATGTTCCGAACTGTGTAGTCTATTCAATCTGTTGTTTGTGGATACAAATCCACGTATTCCCCTCAGTTGTTCAGTCACTCAACATGCATTCATTGGGGGCTGACACAGTCGTCGGTATTCGGTCCCCCACAGTCTTACGTCCACCTAGGCGGAGGTATGGTAAGGCACTTATCAGCCCCTTGGTTATCACCACTGGGATCCAGGTGGAGACTTCCGGCCCGGGCAGGCCTGTGGTAAGGAGATACTCCACCTCAGATGATATCTTGGACTAACACTCAGGTCCTGTGTAATCACTGGCTCCACTGGCCACAGTCTGAGTCTGGGCTCATGTGGCAGGCAGGGACCTGTGGGAGGCCAGAGTCTGTCCCCTTCCCTGACCCTTGGCAGAAACCAGTGCCGATGAACTACAGGCTGAATTTCTGCCTTTGAGGCACGAGCCAACTGAGTGGCTGCTACAGATCAGCTAGGAAAAAAGTCATCCCAGCCTCCTGTGGTTCACCCAAGAGCTGGCGCCATAGTGGGATCTGGGCAGGTCTTCCTAGGACGGTTGGGAGCTGCCAGAGGTTACAGCGGGGCTCAGGTGAAGGCTTTTTAGATGAGGACACCTGGGCTTGAGGGTGTGTGACTAACTTTTTTATCTGCAGGCCATGGTTTCACAGTCCACCCCTTGGCCTGTCTTCCAATTGCCCAGAGGTCATAACTTACTCAAAGGATTTCCCTAGTAGGCACATTTATGCCATTTCAGGAGCTCGACCTCCTTCCTGTTCCATGGGGTTAAGCAGATCCTTCTGGTTGAGTAGTTGTGAAGGAGCTGACCTATGCCTGTTCTGTCTCACAGTCTAATACTGGGAGGGCTAGCTTCACCTACCAGCCCACCTCCCTTTGCAAGAGTCCTCTTCTTGAGTCTACCATTCTTGTCTTCCCCAGGCTAAACCCAACTGAAGTTCCAGGAAGGTGGAAGCATTTCTACCGTGAAGATCTCAGAAAAGTGCCTTACAGCAGTACAGGGAGGAAGTGGGGGGCGGGGTGGCACTGTGCCTATGAGGGAGGGGGAAGAATCTGCTAGGGTAGGCTTTTGGGAAGTGGCCTACCAGATGCCCCACCTCATGACTATCAGTATTTTTACCCTCCCCCTAGTCCCTCTTCAAATTCCTACCTTTCCTCAGATCCTCACCCCCTCTCCACATAAGGTCTGAGCCCCAGTGATCAGGGCTTTCTTGCAAATAGCAGTTGGCAGCAGTTCAGACAGGAAGTGGGGGCGTGTAAGGTATCAAAGTGACTTGTGAGGCAAGATGATTTATTGGAATATTAATTTGTTTTTCAGCTTCTTCAATTCTCTTCTCCCATGCTCATTTTATGCAAGCAGCTTGGCCCTTTTGGGCCTCTTACCTTAGGGATTCCTGTCGGCAGGAGCAGCCTGCAGCCCACAGCTTATCTGCATCTTGGGAGGAGATGCCATTAGGTGTCCTTAGGGGAGGAGAAGGGAAGAGACTGAGCCAGTTTTCCCTGGAACGAAAGGGAAGAGAGGTCTGGCTCAGGGCAGACTGGGGTAGCAAACAGAGGAGGGACGTGTCTCCTAGGCACGTTCTCAGAGTGGGGCTTCCTGCTGTGCGTGGAGGTCCTGCAGCAACTCCCTGAGGAGATGAGAAGACCTTGTGGGGATGGGCCTGGTCCTCCCCCCGGAAGGCAGGACCCTGTGACTAGGGGCCTGGGTCACCGTGGAGGGCTGTGCCCCATGAGGGGCCCGGAGAACAAGTAGGGCTGTCAGGTGTGCAACCTTTGGGCGTCTCTGCACCACAGGGGAAGAAGAGTTGTTTTGGCTACACGTTAAATACATTGTGACATGTAATCACAAAAAAAATCTCATAACATTGTAAGTAAATTTATGACTTTTGTGTTGGGCCACAGATCAGACACCCCTACGTAGGGGTGGGCCTGGAAGATATCAGTGCTTTCCATGATAGGCTGGAGGTTGCAGACGTTTTTTTCTGTTTCTGGAGTACTACATCAATGTACTGTGTTCCTGTGCATGGGTAGGAGGGAGCAGGAACCCCTAATAAAGACTTTTCCCTTCCACATCCACTCTGGCAGACTGAGGGCTCAGAGTAGGAAGTAAAGTGATTTTAAGTAAAAAAATACAGAAGGTGCTCTTTCTGTCAGATTGTATCTGAGGCCTGCAATTTGTACTTGCCTTCTTAACCGCAGGCAAAGGCTCATCTTTTCCTTGGGCAATATTTCCAGTACAACTTGCACTCATCCTTTGGCCTTTCCATTTACTCATTCAGTCCATAAATATTAACTGAGGGTCTACTCTTTGTTAGGTGCTGGGTTAAGTGTGGAGGATACAGTGGTGTACAAAGCCTCCCCCGCCCCCATGGACCTTACAGTCTCACAGCGAAGGTACATGCTCATCACATAATTCAGCAAATACTTAATATGCAAACATACACCTGGATAGAGACTTAAAGGGAAATAGATGCTGCTATAAGGGTTCATAGTAACAGATCTGATGTAGTCTAGAGTGAGGCTGCAGTGGAGAGGATATCGGGAGAAAGAGGAAGTCATGTCTGAGCAGAACTTTCAAAACCAGGTGAGGTTTGCCCTGATGAACAGTGCGGCTCAGTTGGTTGGGCGCTGTCCTGCACAGTGAAAGGTCTCTGGTTTGATTCCTGGTCAGAGCACAAGCCTGGGTTACAGGCCCCTGGCTGGGGCGTGGACAAGAGGCAACCGACTGATGTTTCTCTTTCACACCGATGTCCCTCTACTTCTCTGTACCCCTCCTTCCCCATTTCTAAAACTAAGTAAACAAAATCTTAAAAGACTAGATGAGGCTTGTGTCTGTGTGCAGATGTGAACGTGCACGCATGCATGTGTGTGTGTGCATGTGTGGGGGCATTTCAAGTAGAGGGGGAAGCATTCTACAAGGCCCTGAGTGCGTTGTGGGGTTGGGGAAGGAGCTGGGTGGCTTTAAGGAACTGAAAGAAGCCTGAGTGGCTGCCGAGCTAAGGCCAGGAAGGGAGTGAGGAGCGAGGTCACCTGGGGCCTCAGAGATCAGTTTGGCCTTTGTCTTAAGAGTAATAGGAAGCCACTGAAGGTTTCTGAGCCTGAAGGTAACAGGATCTGACTTACATTTTAGAAAGATTCTCTGACTGCTGTGTTCAGCAAGGCTGGTGGAAAGGCAAAGCTGCGGCGGGCAGACCAGGACTGTGTTCGGAGGGAGAGCAAACTATGATCATGGGGGAGGAAGGCGTTCTAAACACTGGTAACTGAAGAAAACAAAAGCAAATTGCAGAAGCACTAAGTATGAGTCTACTGGTAATTTTTAAAAGAATATGCATAAATATGTACATATATTCTTCCCAGATATGTATGTATATATTCATGCCACAGAAAGTGATACAGGCATAGCTGGTTTCCAGCCTGTTGACATTACTAACTCTTCATTAGAGGATGGAAACTGGCCTGGACCTGGGGCTCATGAGCTTGGGCTACTGCTTCTAATTACTGACTTTGAGCTTTTCTATGCCTGTTTCCTCAACTGTTCAATGCACTCGACTGATAAGTTCCTTCTACTTCTGGATTCTTGTAACTCTGGGCAGAAAGGAAGTCCAAAGAGGCAGGGAGGCAGCATGCATCATCCAGGCAAGTTGTGTAAGCCCAGCTCTATTTCAACACTGCAGAGCTAGGGTGACATTCGAGAAGAGCAGCAGGGGGATGGCGGAGAGTGAGAACATCTCACAGGGCAGCCTGACAGGAGGAGTGGGCAGCTGTCTCCGTGTGGAGATTTATCGCCTGCCTGGACCAAAATAGCCCCATGTTCTGGGCTGCTCCAGGGAGCAACTTCCTGGTGAATACGAAATCCACTTACCTAGGCCTGGCACTAGATCGACATCCAGTCTTTTCCCTCCAGGATCCCTGGAGCCCAGACAAAGACACTAGGCTGGCAGAAGTGAAAAGAAGGGGACCATGGAAAAGGAGGACCCCAGGCCTAGCTAAGACCCCTCTTGGAGAACCCACCCCTTAGGACTGGGCTGACTGGGGTGAGGTGGAAGCATCAGGGTGGGGTATTGTTTACATAAGGTTGTACCTCGGAACATACATTTGTAGGATGCAAATAGGCACTTTGCAAAATGGGGATTCTGTGGGCAAATAAATTGGGGAAGCATTAGGTTAAACCAAATTAAGCAGGTTTTTCTATCCTAGGATTTAGAATTTTATAAATTTCATGACCACTTGAGGAGGAAGAAAAACAGTGCACAGTGTATCTACCCTTTTTAAAAGACCATTTTCCAAGAGAAGTCTTCTCAAATCACTCTACAGGAACAACAATCTAGGCTCTGAGTCTGACTGTGGAGGAGGAGGCCTGGGTCTGACTTCCACCTGAGCACCCAGCAGGTCCACGGGGGGTACATGATGATTATGGAACTGGAAACTTGCAAACTAATTTTGCCTATTTTGAGATGTGGCTGGGGATACACCTGGATGCTTAAATTATTGTATGTTATTACCTAAATGTTTGTTTTCCCCTCCCAGCTCTTATTTTGAAACCCTAACCCCCAGTGCAGTGGTATTAGGAGGGGCTAGGGATCCTAGAGGACTGCATTTCTGTACAGTGGATGGCTGGAACCCGGCTGAAGAGGACGACAGAGATGGCGCATAAGGAGGGGCTGAAGGTGGCAAGTAGGGACAACTTTTTCAAGGAGGGTTGCTCTAAGGGCGACAGAGGAATGGGGGTGGTTGCTGGAGGGGCTGTAGGAGCCAAGGTGATGAGAGATGCTACAGCAAGTCCATAGGCCTAGGGGATGATCCAATGGAGGACTGAATGTTCACAGGGGAGAGCATGGGGACAGAGATGTCAGCCAAGTTTCTGAGTAGGAGAGGAGAAATGGGGTTCGTTTCCTGAACAGGTGGAGGTGTTGGCTTTAGTCAGGTCAGCGGAGGGGACTGGAGATTTGTGGCCCAAAAGCCTTGTTTGTGTCTTCTTGTCAAGACACAATGGGCATGGCAGAGAGTTGGACATACGGATACTCAGGGCTGGGCAGAGTGGGAGCACCGCCAGGAGTTGAGGATGTATGCGGAGGGTGATGAGTGATCACAGGCAAAAAGGAGCGAAGAACCGAGGCTGAGGCAGGTGTGACTCCAGCTGCACAGGAACACAGTCCGGAGTTGCGAAGACGTCCCAAGGAATCTCTGTCCCTGACTTTCTTCTGGCTCCGCTGCCTCCTCACCCTGATGGCCCTCTCCCCCAGTCCAAGCCAGGCAGTGTTTTTCTGTGACAGCAGAAACACTTGGTCCCGGTGAGAAAGACAATCTCTGGGCCCTTCACCCTCTTACTGAACCCAAATCTTCGAGCTGAGCTCAGTGTCTACATATGAAGCAAGAGCCTCAGTGCTCCCAATCGATGCTTTTGGAGTATTGGCTTGCTTTCATAAAGAATATTTGCTTAATTCTCTCCTCTAGGTCATATTCACTACTTGGTTTGGAGAAATTGCCAGGGACTTGTGATTCTTCCACCATTCTCCCTTCTGATTGGCATGGAAACTTTTATTATTCTTAAAAAAATTTTTCCCTTCTCTCCTGAAAAGCCACTGAGCACTGTTCTTCTAGTGGAAATTCCTGAAAGATGCTAACACTTGGTATCTTGAAGTTCCCAGGATGTGGCATGTTTGGCTAAGAAAGCAGAGCTTTATGGACTTATGAAGAAACTGAAAGGATATATACTCTTTTCTCTTTGAAGGTTTATTTCCCAACAGGAACACCATCCATTTTTCCATTGCTACGCTCCACCCCACAGTATAGGCAAGCTTGTCTGCCCCTTCCTTTTGGCCATGGATGGATGCCTCTTGGCTTCACAGAGGTATTCATTATACTTGGGAAGTTATTTCCCATAGGATGTATAATAGAACGAGGGCCAGCAGGATACATTTCAAGTAGATTTGTTCCACTTGTCAGTGGGTCAATACCAGTGTCTGTGAGAATCACTGTCTTTGCTCCATTGATGTCCTGCCTACCCTGGTCCAGTTTCAGCTTTTTCTGACCTGGCACTTTCCTGCCCCAGGGCCTTTGCACATGCCATCCTTTTTTCTGCAAATCTCCTCCCTCCATCCTCATTTCACCTGGCTGGTTCCTTTGTACTCTTCTGGCCTATGTTTAAACATTACATCCTCAGAGAGCTTTCTTTGACTATCCTGTCTACTGTAGGTCTTCTGACCACTTCCACCTCTCCCATTCCTTATCTCAGCACCATAATTATTTGTTTTATTGCTCTTATAGTTTGTAATTATTTTGTTATTTATTGACTTAATTATCATCTATATCCTCCAGTAGATTGTAAGCAATAAGAAAGCAGGACATAGTTTGCTTTGTCCCTCATTTTGTCCCCAGTGCCAGGCACATTATGGGCCCTCAGTTTGTTGACTGACCACATAATTTGAATAAACCCAACCCAGGAAGTGGTGTAGTTCATAGTCCTTCTGAACCAGTTGGGATGAGATTAAGTAGCGGGTGACAGAATCAGATGAGTTTTGCCTCTCTCCCATTCTCCTCCAGGGAGGCCTGAGTGAGGAATGAGGCGAGAGGCCAGGAGGGTTGCTCTGGGAAAGCTGAGGATTGGGCGCAACATGAACACCCTAAACCACATCGTGAAATCCAGTTTCCCTGGTGGAGCATCCAAGCACCTTTGTGATCTGAGTGGGACCCATGTTTCCAGTTGTATTGTTCCCTTCTTTGCAGGCCCTCTGCTCCCACATTTCCTTGCCCCCATGCTGTTGCCTGTGCTATTTTCCTGCCTGGGGGACCTTTTCCTTGTTGTCTCTGCTTGTTGGCCTCCAAGCCCCTCCAGAGCCAGCGCCATCTTCTCCAGGAGGTCTCCATTAGCCCCATCACACCAAATCTGTCTGTCTTCACTCTGTGTTCCAATGGCTCCTTGTTTATGTAGTTATGCCACCTTCTCCTTATGCAGTCATGAATCTGTGGCAGGCACTGCTAGTTGCCTGGCAGGGAGACAACAAGAGGGAGCTCGAACGAAAGGAGGTAGGACAGCTGGAGGCTGGGGAGGCAGGGGGAGACAAACACGGGGCTGCACTTGTCTGGAACATCCTGGTTCCTGTCCCCTTCAGACTGGACATGTGCCCCTTGGTCGCCTCACTTCCACTGGGTCCATCTCACATAACTGTGACCCTGCTCTACAGCCTCCCTGGGGTGTTGCTGAGCCCGCTTTGCTGGAAATACATCCAGAGGTAGAGAAATACGTGTGCACGGGGCAGCCCAGGGTCTTGAGTCACCATCTCGGGGTTACACAGATTTTCCTGTCTCTTGCACAGGACCATTCCTCTGACATGCGGAGGAATGTGTTGCCACTGTTTTAATCTCCTCTCCATGGTAAGCACTTAGGACTCTCCGTTGTTTTTCTGAACGATGGTAATAATGTTATGACTGATTATTAAATGTCAGTCGTAAGCATTCAGCAAATGAAGTAAGCCTGGGTCAGCAAAGGGAAACCAGAGTCAGGATTTCATGGGCATTTTAGAAATCGTTAGCCCAGGGAGATCAGACAGCTTCTTGCATTCACTGATAAGTGGCAAATGGCTGCTTGAAGCACAGCGCGGGTTCTCAGACCGCATCTGGGCTCACTGGGAAAGGGTTAGTGATGGCCACCAGGAGGATGAAGAGGGGGGTGGTGGGGCGGTGTCAGCCATTTGCCATCTCTGATTTTATTCAACTTCAAAGGTCCAGGGAGGTGGACAAGGTCCCTCCTGGAATAAGATGCAGTATAGGATTTAGAATTCCTGACTTCTGTTCTTGAATCTTTTCCCTTCTGACTAAACTGTCTCACTGCTGTTAGAGTCTTCCAGGGAAATTCAGAGGCCAATGAAATGCTTGTCAAGCAAGACTTCTGTTGTTGTTCCCTCATTTTCTTACCTATTAACTATCTCAGCTACCTCCTCCAAAGACTGCTGCCTTTTATGTGAATCTGCCTGTGCATCTCTTTCCCTAGTTAAATGAAAAAGAATCATCCTGCTCCTTCTATTGCCATTCTTTTTGGAAAAGCACAATAATCAGTCTTTAATGAGCTTGTGACTCTGAACTGAGGTATAATAATTTTGGTGACTCTGCAACTTCCGTTGATGGAAATATATTTATTTTAAAAGTTGATGACCTGTGGGAAAAAACTATTACACTAAATATCACGATGAGGTCATGGGAGCTGACGGAGAACTTGGGGAGAGGAGAGGACAGGGGAAAAGAACCAATAAAAATCAG